ATTTCATAAGCTGTTGTGCTTATCGCTTCGGTCTGTTCCTAGTTCTAAAAGACAGACTTCAACCAGTCCATGTTATGAGGTAATTAACGTCTGATACTCCACATAAAAAAGCTATGTTGTTATCAGCGGTTCATTTGAGCTTTATTTCATTCAATTACAGAGTAATATTTGCCATTGCCATGTCTGCGGGAAGTGTTGGGTTTGCTAGTGCATATTTCCCCGAATACGCTAAAGCTAAACTTGCTGCTGGTATTATATTCAAAATGTTGGATGAAAAGTCTGAGATTGACAATTTTTCAGAAGACGGCGGGAAGCCTGTAAGCGTGAAAATTGCTCTTCAATTTAAAAGCGCTTTTTTGCGTTTGTAAGGTATAACCAGTAACGACACTAATGAAATTTAAGAAAACGAGGCTTAACCGATTTCAAAATAGAATTATAGGGGATTTCCGGAAAAGTAGAATTCAATTCCTTGAAATTCGCCTACCCGGAAAGACCAACAGTTCAAATTCTTAAAGGCTTAACTCTTGAAGCTGATGTGGGACAGACATTAGCGATAGTTGGCCCTAGCGGATGTGGTAAGAGCACAGTTGTTTCACTGCTGGAGCGCTTCTATGACCCTTCTGAAGGAGCCGTTGTATGTTGTCACCTGAACTGCATATCCTTGAAAACTTTATTTTGACATCTCATCAAACTGCAGAAAATTTGCAGCGTTTTTAAATTGCTATCAAAACCTCATTCTTTCGTTCTTGTTGGAAACATCTGCTAACTATGAGCATCATTTATAAGAAAAAAACACCACCGGTAACTTAATGACATTAAATTCCCCCAATGATGTTAACAAACAATAAGCGTACGTGACCCCCACTTCATATGCTGTGGTCTAATTCAGGTGGTTGATGAAAACAACATCCGCGAAGTGAACGTCAAGCATCTTCGTCGACACATGGCCTTAGTTTCCCAGGAACCAGTGCTTTTTGACTGCTCTATCAAAGAAAACATTGTTTATGGCTTGCCAGCAGATTCTGTCACTGAGAAGCAAATTTTTGAAGCTGCTAAAGAAGCTAATATCCACTCGTTTATCACCGATTTACCATTGGTATAATTAATTAATTTTATTTAGAAAACTCAACAGTGAAACATATAGAAGTGTTGAAACAGCTTTTGAATCTCTTTAAGGGTTACGACACTCGTGTTGGAGAAAAGGGGACTCAGTTATCTGGCGGTCAAAAGCAAAGGATAGCAATCGCTAGGGCTCTAATAAGGAACCCAAAAATTCTATTGTTAGATGAGGCCACAAGCGCTTTAGATACAGAAAGTGAAGCGGTACTAAATAAAACTACTGCACTACCTTACAGATACCAATCTCGTATACTACCCCCTTCCTTAAAAAATAATTAGCAATTGCTGATAAGACCAGCTTTTCGTCCGTTTAGCAGTAGTTCGATATTTACAAACTCATGAACGAAGTTGGAAAAATTTAAGGATTTCCCCTGATACACTTACAGATTGTTCAAGACGCATTAGACCGCGCTGGTCAAGGTCGAACTTGTATTATAATTGCTCACCGTTTGTCAACAATTGTCAATGCTCACTGCATTGCGATGGTTAAAAATGGAGCCGTTCTGGAGAAGGGTAAAATATTTCAAAATATTAAGTTTGCTAATCCCCCGTTAATATTTACAACTTCCTACAGTAACGCTTCTAGTAGCAAAAAGATTAGAATCTAACAAACTCACTACTGATTTTTTCGCCATAGCTGAACAGATATTAACAATTTCTTAAGCATTCTTGTGAACTTTAGGCACTCACGCGGAACTAATGCAGAAGAGAGGTGCCTATTATCAATTAACGCAGAAACAAAATCTGAAGACTGATGATGATAAAACCTCTAACTGTGAAGTCGGAACTGTTTTCTGTTAGTGTTTGAACAATTTTGCAAAACGAATATGAAATATGACAAAACCCTCATACAGGAAAACCAATTAGTATAAAGGGCATGAGGTACTCCCTTCCACTTTAACAGACTGGCAAATCCGTCATTGTTGTTGATGGTTAAATGATCTCATTTTATTTTCGTTTTCAAAATCCTGTTGCGATAATTATTAGTAAAACTGGTCACGTCAGATAAGAAAAACAAAACCTAAATCAATTTTCCCAATAAAGGCATAGAAATAATTTTAACGAGGGCCATAATCAACTAACTACAAAAAATAAACAACTGGATATCCTCAGAAAAAGATCTTCCTCCGTCCAGCCATCAGCAATTAACACAACCACCTGCACCGGCACGCCAAAAAACGAGAGAAAAGAACTGCGCGTTTCATCAAAATTTAACGAACTACCACATAATACGAAAATCTGGTACCTGGGTTAACTGACATCAAAAGTCGATGAGATGTCAACGTTCCCGCCCTTTCTGCCACCGTCCTTAAATAACGCATTTCCTATCCCGACACCAACATGCACTTCCACTGACACCGATGGACGGACAAAAATAAATTCTGAATCGGAATTTCTTGGACACCTCACAACGACCATATTACGCATAACTGATTAAAAATAACTCACGACTGCACTTAGAAAGAACCAACCCGTCTACACTACCGCATAATCCACATCACAACATCATGTAGATTCATATTTCTAACACTCCAGGCTCGCGAGGACATTTCCACTCAAGAACCACCTCTCCAAAATCTGGTTCTCAATAGCGAAACTACTACAACTGGTGAGACCTGGCCTTGAAACCAAAAAACTTTCAGCTTCTGCGGACACAAGACAAAGCTGGGTTTCTGCGCCTAAAAAACAAACACCAGTCCGCACCAAGAAACAATACCCCAGAAAAAAACGTTTACTCTCCCACAAAAAACAACCGTAAAGGCCCATTCTTCCAACCTAAATTTTTCCCGGCTACTAAAAATCTACACAATGATACAGTTTCAAGTTTCATTAAAGAATTTCTCAACCGCAGTGCGGGTGAGGCGTTATGTACAATATAAAAAGCAAAGTCTTAAACGATGATGATAGACGGCAGCAGGGTAAATGGTTACATGAGTGTAAGGGGCATTTACAAGCAGTGGAAATGCTTCATCAATCAACAAAATATAAAAATAGCAACCTCATGAATACCTAGAAACGGTAGATCTTTTATAATGAAGTAATTAGACTTAATTTTTCAAACCAGAAGCAATTATTTGCATAAAATTTGACAGAGGTTTTTACAACTAAGCACTAAAGTGGATCATGAAAATCTATGTGACACCTGCGTAGGTACAAATTGGGAGACAGAATACCCGCTCTAACAAACAGTTCTGTGCAACGACACTTTACTGCTGCCTACACTGTTCGCTTCGTTGTTTCTTAGCACTAGAACTCTTCATCACGGATGAATTAGGTGGCGTAGAAATGGGCGTTCGACTCCCTTCTGTCCGGACCACTGCTGAAAAAATAACAGTTTTCTCAATATCAGTTCCGGTTAACCTGAATAGCCGCTACCTAACCTAAAGACGACCTTCCAAATTATGTAAAACTACTCACTGTGTGTTTTAAGCGACCCATCAACATGGTTTTGTACAGTTGCCTTCGCCTTCTCTACGCGCTTCTCATTTTTCTTTCCGTTTGAAGACGACTCGGGCATCGATTCAATACAACCTATTTTACTCATAATTTCCTTCTCACTAAGCCCTTGCTGAAAAGTTACCGAAGTATTTCGTAAAAAGATTTCCACCAAACTTGTGTTCCCTGTGACTAGAAAAACCAGTTACCTGGGAACCTTCTAATCGCGCTAACTTGCACCTGAGAGCAAAAACCTCTTCACGTAACCGCGTTACCTCATTGTCTGCATCGTCGCAAACGTCGCCTAAACGATTATTTTCCTCCTCAAGATAGGCTATCCTTTTCGATAACTCCTAAAAGAACAACATTTACACAGAAGAAATCATCAAAGGGGTCGTAAAAGCTAGTGACCAAACAGCAACCACAACCTCTTTTTCAACTGCCACTTTATCCTTGAAGGTCGAGAATTCAGCAAGCAAAACACGCTTAGCTTCCTCACTTGACAAACTTTCAACTTCTTTAGACTTCGCCAGATTTTCCAAAACTTTGTTTTGTTCTAATATTTCTCCATTTTCCTTCTCCAGAACTGACAAGCGTTCCTCAACCTCATCTTTATATGCGGCAGCTCCTGTAATTTCCTCCTCCTTAATTGATAAAGCACTTCTCAAGGTCCGAACCTCGGTTTGAAGTGTAGCGATCAACTGTTCCTGATCAGAAACCTAAAAAACAGGACCTGTTATACATATCAAAAAAGTTTAAACTTTTAAAAGCCAAATGACCTTTGATTCAACTTCATTCTTACACAATAACCCTTTCTCAACTTCTCCGTCTTTAATTGCTAAGGCATCTTTCAAAGCTTCAGCTTCAGCTCGGAGTGAACCAATAGTCTGTTCTTGTTCAGTAACCTAAAACCAAAAGTAATAATAATAATAATCGGCCTTGAGAAAAGAGCGAAAAAACAACCTGCCTTCAACTTTACTTCATTTATATACAGTGATCCTTTTTCGACTTCTTCATCCTTGGCTGTTAAGGCATCTTTCAAAACCTGGATTTCAGACCGAAGCGCATCAATCACTTGTTCCCTTTCAGCAAGCTAAAAAACCACCAATGACCTCGAGCCACAAGAAAAAACCGGCGAACAATGAGTAACAAACAAAAACGCGCTTTGAAAAATTCACCTTTGCCTCAACTTCGTTCCTACATATTAAAGCTTTCTCAACTTCTTCATCCTTCACCGTTAAAGCATCTTTCAGTATTTGAGCTTCAGACCGAAGTGCTCCAATTACTCGTTCCTGCTCAGAAACCTAAAAAAATAAAAATTTTGTAATTTTGAAAGACATATTACTTAAAACAAAAGAATGTGCTTTCCCCGATTTACATCTGTATATGAGAAGTAGAATTAAACTGCGGATAACGCAAAACAATAAATGAGGCGAAATCCCCGTAACCGCTTCAAAGCTGGAATTCCAATATGGAATTTACTGGTGTTCAAGTGCTAACGAAATTCAACCCATGATGGTGAAAAAACTTCACACTCAACCTCATTTGACTACGAGAAAAAAAATTTTGATTTCCTTTCACAGAATAACAGCGGTTTTCAGAACTATTTTCATTTGTTTCAACACTAGATCATTTTCAACCTTTCCATAGAACTTTTTGCATTTATTCTATACAAAACAGCTGCCGCTAAGTGATTTCCAACAACCATATGCGTGCCTATTTAACACAAAACCATTTAGCAACATCTCTGACCAAAGACTTACAAAACTAACACAAGTCTTCCCAATACTGCACAATGCCCGTTATAGATGAGCTATTTTATACCCCTCTCTCTCACCACCGACAAGCAAAACAGTTAATTCAAAAACTTAGTTGCCAAAAAGTTACCCGGACAAAGCACTTCCGCAAAGCGGTACCCATACACAAAAAAACAACTAAATACTGTGAGTGGAGAAGTTTCAACTTAGGGCTATATCAGCGCAAATAATTTTATGGGAAGTAGAACTCTCAAAAACACCCATTTCGGATCTTGTAGAGGATATGCCACAATTTAAGCATTAAAAGATTAATACTAAAATGGCTGAGGACAAGCATGATTCCGTAGTTCCTAATCCGGATACGTGAAAGCAAAGTGCTGAACAGATGTGCAACACGAAATTTCGCAATCGCAAAGCGTCTTTTTTAAAAATTAAAATGACCCACGCAACAAGCGTAACTTAGACTATGTAAAAATAGAGTTGATTTCTTCAAGCAACTGACCACTCGTTATACAAGTAATAATTTTTACATTAAAATTCTATCCCCAAAATAACTGGCGCCAAACCCTACTTATTATTCTGCGTAATCCTCTCCCTGGTCCCACCTCCTTGGTTGCATTGGAGCACATAAAATACAAAAAGTACAAACAAGTGACCTTTGACTGCCAAGACGAAAGACTATCCTTGACAGCATCGTACTCCCTCAACTCAACGCGATTCTGTTCCAGGATGAATATTTTTTGGATCAAGCCCTCCTTTTCTTTTCCCACTTGATCCAACTTCATTTTAACATCGGACAATTCCCGTTCTAAATCTCCACATCTCCCTTCTAGAAGTGCGTTAGTCCCTTTAAGTGAATCAATAACCTGAAAGCAACTTCATTTCATAAATCCAACATCACTCAGGCAATGAACCCAACGAACCTCCTGGTTGAGCTGAATTAATGACCCAAAGTTTTTTTCCATGTTTGATTCCATCCCTTTGAGGGTTGGTAACAGGGCGTCTTTTATGTCCATCTCTTTCTTCATCAGAGCGTTCTCTGAACTCAGTTTCTGAGCTTTGCCATCCAGCGCCAACATTTGACTTTCCATTTGTGCTTTATTATTCAACGCCTCCTCCAATTTCTTACTTTCCCGATCCATCTCGGACTTTTGATTGGTCAGCTGGTTTTGTAACTCAGAGACAGACCTTTTAAGGACTTCTACCTAAACACTATCACTAGTGTATATCTCTGCTGT